AGAGCTGGCTGTGCCACCAGCTCTGGCAGCTCGGCTGTGTCCTTGGCTCCTTTGAGCTTGCTCACCTCTGAAACTAAGAGTGGCAGAATGGAAAGAAGGGAAGACTGGTGGATTCATTTCATAGTGAAGAAATGTTCAGCTTGTGAGAACCAGTCGGTCTGCTTTTCTAATTAATCTTCTGCCCTAGACTAGATGGTCCTGCTCTGGCAGGGGGGTTGGACTTGATGATCTCCAGAGAGATCCCTTCCTACCCCTAACATTCTGTGAGTCTGGAAAACATGCTTCTGGTTTCTCTATTTATCTCATACAGGCAAACCCTTCTAATCTAATTACTCCTTCTATATGGAAAAAACCTGATACTTTTGTAAATAAAGCCTCTCTGTAATGGGTTTTGCTAGCATTTTTAGGTCCAGGTACAAGGATCCTCATCTGCCCATTCCACACCTGAAGGTCCAGATGTAGAGTAAAAACTCAAACTAGAAGAGCAGGCTTCTTTCAACAGAAGTTGACCAGTTGTACTGTAATTAAAAGAAGGAAGAGGAATGGTAGTTCCTGTAAAATGATGACAGAGTTCGACCTTTAAAATACTGCACTGAAGGAAAGACTTAGTAATACTTGAGTCTAACCACCATAATCTGAAGCTCCTGATATGGTGTATCATATATACTAACTGAATATACGCTGCTGTTAGCTGATCTCTGTGGCAAAGCAGTGTACAAAACAAAGACAATCATCTAGCTGTGTAATTTATGATTTTTAGAATGTTTTGCTGAAAAACACAGTTCTTGAACACGTTTTCCATTTAGTTTCCTTTCCTTTTTTTTTTTTCCTCCTGATTTTTCTTATGTTGAATGTTGGATGATTGGCAATGGGGAAAGCAGCTTTTCACCTCTTAGCCATGCTGTCTAAAGAGCCTGCATTATGTGTGAAGCAGACTGGTGCCTCTCCACACCCCCATGGGCACATGGGAACTTCATGGAAGTTGCCATGGTGTGGCAAGAAATAGACACTCCTTGTTGAAAGATCAAGCACATTTTAGAGCTTTTTATCTCACGGTCTGGAGCAATCTTGCCCCAGCCCATATGAAAAAACCCTTAAATTTGTCTTAAAAGTGAAAACTAAGAGCAATGTTTCTCTTCCATGCCTGTTTCTCTTCCAGGTTGTTTGCCAAGCCGAATTTGAAGCGTGCTGGAATAGCAGTGCTCTGCTTGCTCTCAGCCTCCTCTGTGGACACAACTTGTCCTGGTTACCTGTGGCTGTTGCTGGTCCATGTCATTAATCCATACAGCTTTGGGCAGTATTTGTGTAATTCACACACTTGTCATTCAAAAGCAGGATTTTGTGATCAGAACTTTGTTGCTAGGATGATTTGTTATAAGCTGTTGAGTGTGTGATCTACAGGGTTGGTTTACTTGATGTTTTTACTTTTAGATGGTGAATTTGCTCTTAGCCAAGGGGGCAAACATCAATGCTTTTGACAAAAAGGACAGAAGAGCTCTTCACTGGGCAGCGTACATGGGTAAGGCTTGGGCTGGTGCTCCTTCTTAATTTCCTATTCACAAACCAACAGCAAGTTTTAAAATGGGCAAGAGCAGACCTGGCCATGGGAAGTGAGAATTGTATTTACCCTGAAGAGGGAAGGGTTCAGCTGATCTAAATACATACTGTCCATTTATGTTTTTGCAGCTGGTGAGAGCTTGGCTGTGATTTCCACTTTAACATAGTTAATTGTGGGCTTTTTGTGTTGCTTTTTTCATTTTGATCTTTTTACCCTGACTCTAATTCCAGCCTGAAGTATATTTGGGCTTGAAAAAATACAGCTTATATCAATTTCAGCTTTTGCTGAAAACTGCTTTATATAAATAATAAATTTTGCTGTTTATCTATGTCTGTAAGTAGCTAAGTTGTGATACTGTTAAGAATTGTTTCATAGGCTTTCTTATGGTTAGGAGCAAATTGTTGTCTTTTATTCCAGAGCAACTGATTTGTCTGTTCAAAACATTAGTGCTGTTACCAAATATTCCTTAATGAAATCAATTGACCTTATAATTCCTTTCAAGTTAAAGGCAAATTTCATATAGTGAGGTGTTATAATTTCAAAGTGGTAGAACAAGTGCAGTGCCTGTGATAGTGGTCACACTCATTCAGGGGCTTCTGTTGGCTCAGCAGCATGGTCCAGATTATAATTTGTGAGGTGTTGTGTACCCTCGGCCAGGAACTCTTTCATCTAACCTGTCAAGTCTTATTTTAATTCTGCCACTTTCGGAAATGAGATAATAGGAGATTTCAAACTGTGAGAAAAGCATATTGTGTGGGTTTTTAATACATACAGACAGATGGAAAGACTCTTGGCAAGGAATGCAGTTTGGCTTTTGAGCTAGCGAGCTGTGAACTCCTCTCTGTAGAGGTGAAAAGCTTTTACACTCTGCTGTCTAATTCCACATCTCTTTTGCTTTTCATTTTGTTTTGGAAATTCATGATGTGCTTTTCAGAAAACATAGGTAACATTTAAGGCCTAAATTAGCAACGGGATTTAGGAGTCTGTAGTGTAATTTTGGCAGAATTGAGATAATGAGACCTGGGCCTCTGAGAAGATGGATACAGGATGCTGTAAACCCACATGTAGTTTCTTCAGTGCTTAAATATCTTTGGGCACTTTAGACTTTGTCCGTAAAGTTTCTTAGGTTCGTGAGGCAATAAAGACTGTTCCTCAGTTTGGCTTGATTTAATTTTGGTGGTTGTGGCACTGTCTGGGAAGACAGGCCAGATGGTTTGAGACCTTCAGGGAGGGGAGAAAAGGGAAGATACAGGTGGGCTGTGAGTTGCATTTTGAGCTGCTCAGCTCTTCTCCTGTATTCTGTAGGTAAATCCTGATTCAGGGGGTAGGCATTTCACTCCTGAAGCCAGATGTCCCATTGATCTGGCAGTCGGCTCTCAATCTGTGTGACTGTTGAGGCTATTGCAGTTACTTCAATTTGCAGACTAAGTACATATGTCTAGGCTATGAGTTCAGATTCAGGCAGACTTTTATCCAGGATTTTTTGCACAGTTTGACTCTCCAAAGCTGTATCACTAGCAAAAAAAACTTGATCCAAAGATGAGTGGATTCAGGAGAAAATCTTGTATTGTATTGGTAGGCTTTGGATCAAATTCTGCACTTGCTTGAAATTCAGTTTTATGTGTCCTCAATGGTGCTAGAAAAGAGGTTATCTTAATTTTATCATTTATTAAAGTTATTTTTTGTTGCTAACAAAAACCCAAGTGTTAGCAGTTGTGTTTGCAGGTGCCATCCACGGGGTGGCTGTTTTGGGAGACTTGTGTTCTCATGCTCCTGTGCTCACTGTTCTTTCTGTTGCAGGGAGAATAAAACACAAACTGTCATTCTTTTGAGAAATAAAAGGGGGAGAGGGGTCTGGTTTTGTTCTTTTAGTGACTGGAAAACTTATTCAGTAAAGATAACATTGACACATCTAATGAAGGTGAATGCATGGATTTCTTGACAAGGCCTGGAGCCAGGATTAAGAACATTTATGGAAATGCTTTACTGTCCCTTGTAAAACTCTGGGACCATTGTGAAACAGCAGCAAAAGGGGCAGTACATTAGCAAGAAAGCAGTAATTTGGGAGAAGTGATGCTGTGGGATGGTATATTCATTGATTAAATGTCCTTTCCAACCTAAAGCATTCTCTAATTCTATGATGACTGTCTTTCATCTTTTGAAGGTCACCTGGAAGTTGTTGCCTTACTGATTAATCATGGTGCAGAAGTGACCTGTAAAGACAAGAAGGGTTACACCCCACTTCATGCAGCTGCATCCAATGGGCAGATTAACATTGTGAAACACCTCCTTAACCTGGGGGTAGAGGTATGTGGTAACGTGCTCTTTGTGGCTTCCATGTCTCTCTCCATATTTGGAGATAGTCTCTTCCTCTTTCTTATGGATGCTGCTACAGACATTGGCAGAGCTTCTACAGAAGATAGTTCCCATTTTCTGGACCACATTGTGCTTCATGTAGTTTATTGGTTCAGGGGCCAGGAAACACTCTGGAATAAACAATGTCTGATGTGGACAGTAAATTCCATTCCACCTTGCTGAAGAAATCAGGAAACACATTCCTGTGAGGAAGATGGAATCATGCAATTTCCCTTGGCTCAGCATTCCCTTTGATATGATGAGCACTTGTTCTCCACATACACACTGCAGACTTTACTAGACAGCAGTTCAGGCTGTTTAAGTTTATGGACCTGTATTTCCTCTGTGGCCAATGGAGGGAAGGAGGATTGTTTTCACTGGGGAAAGGAACATTTTTTCAGGGCACAGACTTCTTGTAGTGTAATATTGTCAATTCAGTGGTTCAAAGCAGCAGTGAGATGACCAGAAGGGCCTGCAATAGTTAATCAGAGATGTCAGATAAAGCCATTGCATTTGCTACTGCGTTTTCAGCTGACCTGACCTGCCAAAAAAATGTCATAAGTTCATGTTCCCAGGCTGTTGACTGTGAAGTTGAAGGGGAATAGGTGTTTCCTGTTATTAGCAGTACTGTGCTAATAGCTACCTTTTAACTTCCCTATTCTCACCACTGGGGATATGATCTTTGAGACACCTGTATTTTGTGGAAGGGTATTCACATCATCCCTGAGTCTTTTGTTCAATCTGTCTTGTCCTATTTTACACAACAGCAGATTAATACTAAGTCATTCATCAAGAATTAACATAATCTTAATTACATCTTTATAATATTGAGCTGCTGAGAGTGGTTTCTTACTGAAGTGTAAATGGCTGTGCAGTTTCACCTTGCCTTCACTCAAGCACCTTCACTCCCTTCCCAAAAGAAATCTGTAGAAAGAGCTCTTAAGCTTGATTCTGTTCACAATAATTCAATAGTCGGTGTTTTAATTTTTTTTAATCAAGTTTGTGAGCTTTTTATTAATCCTACTTTCCTACTTATATGTAAAAGCTTTCCAGCTTGTTAGGACTTTTGTCATCATCATAATCATTGCATAGTCCTTCTGTCAGCTTTAGGCTTCATACTGGGTTTTAGAAATTGCCAGTAGGACAAAAAGTTAATAATGGTAAAGGTAAAGCATTCCAAATTAAGCTCTCTGGGAGTATATTTTTGTCAATGAAACTTGCTGCTGGGAAATATGCCCTGTGAGAGTTGAAGCCTCTAGCTGTTCCCCTTTGCAGCTTGGGAACGTGTTATGCAAAGCAGTACACTGATGCCTGCAATTTCAGCTCTCTCTCCTTGTCTCCCTTCAGATTGATGAAATGAACATCTATGGAAATACTGCTCTTCACATTGCCTGTTACAACGGTCAGGACTCTGTTGTTAACGAGCTGATTGACTATGGTGCTAATGTAAATCAGCCTAATAATAATGGATTCACTCCCCTGCATTTTGCTGCTGCCTCCACTCATGGAGCTCTGTGTCTGGAGCTACTAGTGAACAATGGGGCAGATGTTAACATCCAGGTAAAGCTTGCACTGCAGCTCTTCAGTTTCACCTTATCCCATTCTGTATTCCTCAGGAGACTGAAAACTGTGATAACAGGTACAGCATGGCTGTAAATCCTTGATGGAAGTAGGATGATGCTGAGAATGTTGATCATTAAACTGTTTGGATGAGATTAACTCCAAGCAGAGGAACTCTTAGTGCCTTGATAAATATGATGACAGCTTTAAACTCTAGGCCAGGCACTTCCCTGAGGGCATGACCAACTACTACAATATAGTCCCAGGGGCTCTGTCAAAATGTTATCTAAAAGGGTGGTGGTAAGTCAAGGAACTATTTCTTTCTGGTGTTTTTCTTCCCTCTGTGATATGGATTTAATTAAATCTGATTCTAAAAAGTTCCTTCTGTCTTTCCTGGGGAAGTAAGAACCAAAGTTTGTTTGTTTAGCTAGTTTAGATCCTGAGTTTACAAAGTCTCATTTTATTTAGGATATCTGAATGCTCTGGAGATACAATTGATACATCTTGATGAAGCTGAAAGGGACTTGCTATTATCCAGCAGAGGGTACTATTGTAGGTACCAGAAGACTTGAGTTCATATAAGATTTTGACTGTTTTACTTGAAACTGTGTGTTTCAGTTTCCAATCTGTAAAACTGGTCTCCTAGTGTTTAACACCTCTGGCAAGTCCCTTGAGCTCAGTCAATAGTCAGGGCACTATTTAAACTCAGAATAATTAAAAAGAAACTAGGGATTTTGCTCACCAATGAACGTGAAACCCCACACCAATAAGCATGAAGTGATGTAAGTAGTGAGGCTGGTACCCTTCCCTTTTATGTTCTGTGCTCCTCAGCTTCTCCAGTTTCAGTTTCTTTCTCTAGAACCCAGAAGAGTGATGTCTGTTCATTGTGCCTTTCAGTTAATAAACTTTCCCTGCTTTCCAATTGTCTTTTGTAGACATCCTATTTTTGATTGGATGAGAATATGTTGACCAAACTTTTTAATATAGTGGCTTTTATTCTGGGATAGATCTATAAAATGCAGATTGATAAACAGGATGGAATTCTTGAATCATTTAAAGACTACTCCTGCTTAGCTTTATGGTTCCTTTGCTTTTCTTTATTCCACTCATTTTAAGGGTTAGTGAAAATAATGACTAAATGGGAAATGTTACTTAAAAATAATAATATGTTATGCATTTTTGGGTTTCTAGCACATACTGTGTACAGCCAGGCTGTAAGGACAGGCTCCACTCCAGCCCATTTCATATTTATTGCTGAGGAACTGTTTTACTTGCATGCTTATACCTTTAGCACGTGTAGATTAAGTCCTACAGACTTTTGAAGGTAGTGGAGGTTTTATCTGAGCTTTAGGATGTTGATCTGAGAGACTCTAAGTTGTTTTTATGTTTCGTTTCTGTCAGAGTAAGGATGGGAAGAGCCCACTGCACATGACAGCTGTCCATGGAAGGTTCACGCGGTCGCAGACCCTCATTCAGAACGGTGAGTTTCCTGTGCCTGTTTAATGACTCTCCAGAAGATGAGGCATTTCCAAGGTTGCAATTTTCAGATGTTCTGACCCAGAGTGCCAAACAGCTGCTCCAAGAGCTGCGTAGCTCTCCATCAACTTCTGGCTGCAGTGGCAACTCTTATTCCAGCATATCATCACAAACTGAGATTTTGGTTGTGAACAAAATCCCCTAATCCTCCAGCTGATGGTGACCTAGCTGATGTGTTGTGATTCTTAGCCTGAAAACAAGAGCTCAAAGATGTATTTAGGTCTTCTTTTCTGCTGAGAAGGAGACATAGTTTACTTTCTGCAACTTAAAAACTCAGAAAAGTTTCTAGTTGTCCTCTCTTGGAAGCTCTGATGTTCTTAGAGCTCAGACCATTTTCTCTACCCTCTACTCAGCAGCTGTACTTCTCTCCCCTCCCTTAGCTCCACCCCTCTTCACTGTCTTCGTTCAGTGTTAAATAAATACTCAGGAGGGTGGACCAGCACCACCTTGTTTGTTCTGGCATAGCCAGGATTCCTGATGATCAGTCATTTATCAGGTATCTCTTTGGTTCAAGAATACTACATAGCATAACAAATATTATTGTTGGAGATCTGGCAGAGGCCTGTTTCCAGTTGACAGAGGTTGCTGTTACTGATTGTTTACTTATCCTTCCCAGCTTTGGCCCACGTAGCAGACAGGATGGTTTAGGGTTTGTGGTTTTTATTGTTTTCCAAAACAAATGTAAACTTTCCAAACTTGGAACTTAAGTGTGAGCTGTTGAAGGTGGCTGGACAGTTAAGCTGTAAATTTAATGGCACTTACTTTTCCACAAGATTGTATTTTTAAAATGGAGGTCTTCAGTACATTGTGCTTCTTTCAGGTCATCATGAAAATTGTTGTCACATCTCTCCTTGGATTAATAAAATGGTAATACTAAAAAGAATTTGGGCAAACTGGAAGAAACTGTGATTTAATGGAATTTTTAGTTGCTTAGTCAAATATGCTCTCTGACTTAGAGCTGTTCTTTGCTCTCTGTTGGATTTGTATGTGAAAGGATTGGCAGTTCTCCATCTGTCCCCCATGCCTCTCTACTGTTCTTCAGGTTACTTGGGTTTCACTTCTTTCTTTCTTCATTTGCTGCCCCTCTAATTTTAGTATTGTACACAGATCTGGTTGCAAGTGACTTTATGTCTCATTGCCATGGGATATTCTGGAAGAGAAAAACATCAATGATTTAAAGAAATGGAGCTTCATTCTGCAGTACTTAATGAGCTGGCTAAAGATGTCTCAATTTCTGGCGGCTGTCTCCAGCAACTTGCAGAGGAAGGGTGGATTACCTTAACATTGGAAAATGGCAAATGTGATGCCTATCTTTAAAAATGGGGGGAAAAAAGAAGAGCTGGAGAGTTTTTTATGTAGATGAGCCAAAAATCCTGAAATAAGTGAATGAACAAACTATTTTTAAACACTTAGGGACGGGCAGGCAATACCTGGCATAGATTTTTCAAGAGTAAAAGATGCTGAGGCATAATTCTCTTCTACAGCAGGGTAATAGGCTTTGTGAACACAGCACAGTCCTCTGACTTTTCTGTGGGCAGGGAATGTTTGTGAAGACCACCTCTGTGGAGGTTCCACCCTGGGGAACCTGTTCCAGCAATTCACTGACCTTTGTTTGCCATTAGAAAGTGCTGTACAGTGCTTTGCTAAAGTTTTCTTGTTGCAGTAGGGCCAGTTATCTCCTGTGAATAGTGGACATGCAGTAAATATTACCATGTCCTGATGTTAGCAAGACTTTTTACATGCTTTCATAAAGTACTCTCACAGCAAATTAGTGGAGTGTGAAAATATTACAGTGTTGGTGCATAATTAGTTGAAAAACTACACTCAGAGAATAGTACTAAATGGATTGTTGTTGTGAAATGGAAGGTGTAGTGAGGCAGTTTTCAGTTTCCCTCCTGGGTCTGGAACTAGCCTGTATTTTCATTAACAGCTTGGATAGTGAAATAGAAAATGTGCTTTTAACATTTGGAGAAAACATGAAGTTCAGAGAGACTGCTGGTTTGGCAGAAGATGGAGAGAGAATGGAAAATTATCCTGTAAAATTGGAGATGGGAGTTACAGTGCAAGTGAAGCAAAGGAGAGGTCCCACACAGGCAGGACTATCAGCTGGACAAGTTCAGAATGGCAACAGCCAGGTGGGTGATGGTTTCTCAAGAAAGGATCTGGGGCTTGTAGAGGACCAGAAACTTGTTGACCACAAGTCAGCAGCATCATGGTGCTTAAAAAAAATGATCAGCACTGTGTGTGGTGTTGTACAAGGTGCAGGAGTGTGTAGGTAGGAGTGTAGCCAGCAGGCATGAGGTGATCCTTTTGCTCAGCTCAGCACTGGGAGATGTCAGCTCTAGTACCATTTCTGGCTTTTGATATTTCACTTCCAGAAGGATGTGGGCCAGCTGGAGAGGACTGGGAGAAGGTTGAGAATAGTTGGAGTGCAGCAAACCTGAGTTACTAGGAGAGACTGAAAAACTTACAGTTCCTTAGTCCAAAAAGAAATTAAGGACCTGATAACAGTCTTTGCATGGGTCAAAAGCCACAGCAGAAAAGAAAGAAATAAGCTGTTTTCCCTGCTTGTGAGGATAAAACATGAGATTAGAATAGATAAAACACAGGCTTAAATTGCAACAGAAGTTCTATTAAGGGCTATTTGGTTGTTCTTTGGTTGGACACAGAGAAGTCACACAACGCACTTGTTGTTCAAAGTGTGTCCCTGCTGGTGTCTCAAACTCTATTTGACATTGTTGTCTTACAGGTAAGTTTGAGTGTCAGTGCCTTTATGAACAAGGGTGTAGTTTCAGCAGTTTAGTTTGTTTAATTCAAGGCATCCATTTGTGCCTTCAGATGAGCAGTGAATATGAATCATGTACTTGACTGCTGGATATCATCCTCTTCACTTCTTTGCCACCATTTTTGCCCACCACTGCAGTTGGAGAGGGAGGTGACAATGCTGCTGCCAGACCACATTCAGTGCCAGTGGCTGAGAGCTGACAGCTTGCTGTGCACTGGTTCTTGGTCTCTGAAATTTAGTGTCTCTTTGGTTGGGCTGATTATGCTGCGTTTACTAGAGAGAAATTGAACTAGTTCATGCTTAACCTTTCAGTGTTCAAATATATGCAAATGTCTTTTTCAGGAGGGGAAATCGACTGTGTGGATAAGGATGGCAACACCCCTCTGCACGTGGCTGCGAGATACGGGCACGAGCTTTTGATCAACACCCTCATCACCAGCGGAGCCGACACTGCCAAGTAGGTGGCTGAACTGGAGCTGTTTCTGGTGATCAAGTGTGATGTCTGGTGCCTGGAAACACAGTGACTCCTCAGGTTCTGAAGTGTGAAGGTTAAAATGGATAAGCACATTTGCACTGTAGTTCATTGGGAGACATGGGGCTAAAATGTGAGCACTTGGGAAGTGTGGAGAGGAAGGAAGCCCTGTGAAGTTCCTGTTTTGCCCAGTTACAAGTCCTGCTTCTTTTTCCTAAAGCACTGGTGTGGCACAGTCTTATGTAATGTGCATGAAGCATACAAGTATATAAGGTGGATCTTGATCACAGTTATTCCAACATGTCTGTAGCAATGAGTTTTTATGGGAAACGTAATTGAAAAAATTCAGTTGCCTTCCAAGGGAATTGTGTGTATATTCCTTAGTATTTAAATTAGCCTAATGTTTACTGGCCTGTCATACTTGGTGATTATTTTTTTGTCTCATGTCTTTTGGTAGAACAGAGGTTAATCAATAGAAATGCAGTATTGCAAAGCTGATGTTACCAAGTCTTTCTGATCTCAGTGTAACTAGAGCCTGTCCTGATGTTGCATAGTTTCTGAAATTCAGGTGGCTGAAATAATAGGACTCCTTTTATCTGATTTGTGAGTTTTTTTTTTTAATAGGAAGACAAGGAATTGAAACAAGACATATTTCTAAATGTTGTTGGTGCTTTATGCTTCAATTCATTTTTTCTCCTTTGCTTGCACATGTATCAAGACTTCACCCACAATATGAAGAGTATTGTCAGCTCAAACATTGTCAGGTGCTTCATTTTTTAAGAGTATTGTGTAGTTAGGTTCAGGTTCTTATGGTCTGTCAAAGAAAAATAGGAAACCTGAAGGTAAACAAAGGGACTTGAGACCAAAGTAATGCAAAGCCATGAGGGATATCTCCTAGGTGTTTAAGAGCAGTTGATTTCATGAATGTAAGTTTTCAGCAATTACTTCAACGTCTCCAAAATATAATTTAAGAGTCTTCTACTTAGGACCTACCACAGAACTTAGTGGCTTAGTGATGTAGTTAGGAAAACCTGCTCTCAGATGTAGATGAGCTGGGTTTAATTTTGAAGATACTTGCAGCTGTCAATACTTTCTTTGTTTGCTTGACAGTGTTTAAGAAAGTGGCACATTTGCCCATATTCCTTTATCAATTATGACTGTCACCATGCAAACTCAAAAGGTGGAACAGATCTTCAGCTGGCACAGATAATGAAATTCCACAGGCTTCAGCTAATGTCACTGGATTTTATTAACAAAGCCAGCATGAAGATCTTGGTGTCTAAATAGATGTGTATTTTTTCCTAGCTCTTTCTCCAGTACAATAAGTTGCAGTCTGTCTCTTATCTTGAGGTTTAAAGGGAAAATGAGGTGCAGTGGGATAGCCCACTCTTGGAGTCAGGGTTATCCAGTTAGAAACTTCTATTTCACACTTGGGTGACTGGAACATTTATTGAATAAAATACTTTTTCCAGCAGCAGAAATAAGTGTAATAAGAAGTTGTCTCAAAGATATGAGACAGATCCAAACAGTGCTACTGTCTGTGCTAAACAAGGAGCATTGAAATGCTGGGAATGGGCTTTCATATGTGCTGCATGTGAATAACTCTGTCTGAGCTCCCCAAACTGTCTTTGAAAAGAAAGTTCTGCACTGTTATTAACAACAACTGAGATAGCTCAGTCAGTCTTTGAGGCAACTGCATTTAAAGAGGCAAGTGTGTAGGTGATGGGGGAACTAGTGTGAACAGCACTGTGGAAGTGGCACTGGTTAGCAGATGTGCAGGTAAGGTGTTTCAGTGGAAATTGGCTAAAACATACTGAGTGGAAATCTTGACCTAAAAGAAGAAAAATATTGCTTTAGATAAGTAGGTGGAGAAGGAGACAGAGGGAAAAGCTGTAGGAAGAAGCACAGGAATACAGAATGTTTAGTGTTAGCTGAACTAAATGAATCCACAGCTAAAAGTGTAACCTGTTTATACAGATGCAGCAGCTTGGTGGAGCTTGTGCTGTTTCCTCCAAAGAACAGGCTGTCAGATCATCTTTAGGTTTCCTGTAAGGTTTAGATGCTACACTAGCAAAATTAAAATTTGTACAACACCACAAGTCACTGCTTAGTGTAGTGAAGCAGCAAGGAGGACACATTCAATGTGAAGACAGAGGAAGGATGGGCCTGTGGATTCTGGAAGAAATATGTTTTTCAAAAACAAACCAAAATTAGTTGAATAAACTTATGTATAAAATGTTGGAGAGAGAAAGATATCTCTATAAACTTCCACATTAATGTTTGTCTCATAATAACTAGTTATGACTTATGGTGAGTCCTGTAGAAAGACAAATTCCTTCATCTTCAGTTCTGTATCTGAAATCCTCTTCCATGAGGTGATCATACTCTCCCAGCCACCAGTTTTCTTGCAGTAATGAAGGGCAGATGTGAATCCATCTGCTATTGTCCAAGGGTTTGTCATTTATCTGCAGAAGATGAAAATCTTGTTGAGATAGTGGGTTTTAGAGGCTCCATCTTTATGTGCACTTGGAGGACTGCTGGTAGGATGATATTTATAGAATGGCAAGTTGCTTTTCACAAAACAATGCCAAATGACAGAAGCCAAGACGTCCAAACCCAAAAGTCTTTGAAGACAGTAAACAGTGGCATGCTTAGGGACTCAACGGGGATAATTTGCTGATATTAATAAAAGCTGCTGAGTGCTTAGCTTGTTTGAAAACTATGTGGTTGCCTGATACAGATTTAGACTAATGATAGGTGTCTACCTCTTTTTTTACCCAGCACGTCTGCTCTGAGAAATTTATAGTGTAACTGAAAAGAGGGTCATTTGTTAAAGAGGCAGGAAAGCAAAAGGGAGTGTGAGGACTGTACCTGGAGCAAACAGTAAAATTAGATATTTGGTTCTTAGGATGTGGGAAGAAAACTGCAGTTGTCACAGCAACCTAAAGGAAAGTGTGAAAAAGAGTTGTCAGCTACCCCAATCTCAGGGGAGAGAGAGAGAGAAGGAAGAAGGGAAGACTTTGAAAACTCACATGAGGGTTATCTAAAGGATGTTCCCTGCAAGAAAAATGGATTTCAGAAGTAACACTGAGAAGATTTTTGGCATTTACTTTTACCTCAGGATGGCAGTTGCAGTATGTGTAGCTGATGCAGAAATTTGTGCATCCCACACAAGGATGCTGTTTCCAAGCAGTGTCTGCTGTCTTGCTTCCTCCCTTACCTTGGCTTTCGCCTGGAATTTTCAGAAACATTCCTGCCACATTCTGTTCAAAGCATAATGCCAAGATTTTGCTGTATCAGAATATTTCTAACTCCTAAGGAGGCTGGTAGGGAAATAAAGATAAAAATACCACGGCAGGAAGAATGTTCCTCGAAAAGGATAGAAACTCCTGCCTTTGTGGAAGGAGCTTTAGCTGTGCTGTGTCTGTGTGTACCCTGTGCTTTCCCACGGCTCTGTGTGAGGAGGCTGTTGTGCCTTTCAGGTGTGGGATCCACAACATGTTCCCTTTGCACCTGGCAGCGTTGAACGCTCACTCAGACTGCTGCAGGAAGCTGCTGTCCTCAGGTAAGTCAGTCCCACGGTCTCTGTGGAGCTTGGGTGGTGTGTGTCTCTGCCCCATCTTACTCGTGGTGAACTGGTCAGATGGAAATCTTCCTGTGCTGCTCTGTCGGGCTGTGCTGTGTCCTGTCCAGGAGCCTTTCCTAACGGTGTGCCCACACTGTCTCACATCCTCTACTGTTCATGCCCAAAGCTCTTTTCCCCTGGCAGGTTCAGAAAGTTTAGAGTCATTCACTAGGAGAAGGAAGGAAATTTAGGACCCTTTTCCAAACTGTTGGAATGTGAGACACTATTTCTTTTTTTTTTTTTTTTTTTTATTTTTTACCCTAAAGAAATCAATCGGTAAATTTTCTCCTTGGGGCCTGCACTGGTAGCAGGTATTTACATCTCACTGGTGGTGATGTATTTTTAGATACAGCTCAAGTGTGCTTCTGAATCCAGACAGAGTAAAGGAGTTAGGCTGGCCAAACTGCAAGTGGGCATGAGGAGGGAGATGAGTGAACGTGTAGTGTCGAGAGAGCAGTCTCTGGATCCTCACCAGAGCCCAAAGCAGAAGGAGCAGGAGTTTGCTGACAGAACTGTTTGGAAAGAGGCAATAATTAGGTGCCAAATCCCAAATTCTTTTTTTTCCAGGCAAGAGTTTCCATGAGTTAAAAAAATCACAAGGCAGATCATATGCTTTTCTAGAAGATTGCTTTATTACTTAACACGTAAAATCTCCTGTAGCTACTTTTTCCCCTAAACTTGAGTCCTGTAGGCTATAAAAAAAGTGAAAAATGGCAATTACATACCCCATCACATTAAACCTTGGTGTGCTCTGGCCTTGATCACTAGATCAGGAAGGAAAAGAAAAAGCTCTGGGTGACCAAAGTGAACACTGCCAGGCTTTTGTCTCTGGCCTTGTGCATCTTGGTGAATCCCTACATACATCTGGAAATTTCTCTCCAACCTGAAAACCACACACAATAAAAATGCCCCCATTTCACATTCAGGCCAACTCAGTGGTTGTTCCTAACTTCTTCATGTTTTCTGTCTTCATGTCCTGCTGTTGTAGTCCTCTTGATAAGTATCTGCTTCACAAATGCTTCTCAGATGATTCTGAAGTGGGATGTGGCACAGAGCTGGATGTGGAAATAGATGCTTGTCAACTTTGGAGCTCTTTTTATAGAGCTGCCAAACTGGAGCAGCCGCTCACTGTTCCCGTGACAACCTCTTTCTGACTGTAGTTGCTTGCGTCCTGTTTTTTTCCAACTAACTGATTTTTCTGTCTCTGCAATGTTTCTTGTGGTTTAACTAGGACAAAAGTATAGCATAGTGTCCTTGTTTAGTAATGAGCACGTGCTGTCTGCAGGCTTTGAAATAGACACCCCTGATAGTTTTGGAAGAACGTGCCTCCACGCTGCCGCTGCAGGAGGGTGAGTAGCTGTGACTGTAGCTGTTGGAAGTCATTTTGTGGCTTTGTTGCAGATTTGGTGCCAGCCAACTTGACCGTGCCATCCACAGAGGGCTGTATTGTGCAAGCAAAGCAGTCTGATGTCACAAGTGGGGCACTTGAGGCTGTCTTTGGCCACTGCTCTCTTGTAGGGATTGTTTGCAGAGTAAAGGAGATGGGCTGAATCTCTCTACTGCAGAGCTAGGCTGTAGTTTGAAGCACGGGTTTCAGGCATAGGGTAAAACACTTTTCTTTTCATGCTCTTGTGAAGACTGCTTCAGAACTGGGTGGGAGAACTGCCTACTCACCCAAGGCTGTCTGTTGACCACAACAGCTGCTGAGGGCCCACAGTTAGCAGCAAATCATCAGTTCCTAGGGCAAAGTGAGTGAGGAGGAGCTGTAGCTCCTGGGATGCTGCTGGCAGGGGAGATATTCCATCTTTGGACTGTGTCCTTCATGGAAAACACAACTACACAACAGGGCCCATCAAACTGGAACCCTGGAGTCCAAGCACAGCTCATCTTCCTCTTTCCCATTTTTCAGGTGCAAATTTAAAAGTTTCTGAAAGAAAAACCAACAAACCAACCAACCAAACAAAAAACAACCCCAAAGCAAACAAACAGCTCCCAACCCTCAAATTAGAAAGTCAAAAGACTGTTGTTTTCTCAGGGTGCTGCATTTTTGGAAAGTGCTGTGAGGCCAGAAATGGAAACAAATAAAAACTGAAATACGTCAATTGAAGTTGTAAATGTAGCATCCAGTTCGTTTAAATATTTCCGAATAATTGTTAGTGGAGTGCTGTGATGTTAACCTAGCAAAAGGACAAAACATTTGGCAAGCATGGAGCTTTGACTCTTCCGTTGAGTAGTTTATGGCTCAGAAAACAGCTGAAATGGAACCTTGGCTAGAACCCAGCTTGGATTCTCTGTGGTTAAAGCAAGCAGAAATGGTCATCTACAGCAGATACTTGGCAGTCTTTCTGGAAGTTGTTTTTTCTTCCCAGTGGACCAGAATTTATATAATGAAATTTTTGTTATTCCAAAAAAAAGTGATATAATTCATCCAAATATTGGTTTTATTGTTCTTATGGTATTACTCTTTTTGATACTCGTCTCACATTAACAGAGGGGAGGTATGACTGTTGCTCGGGTGGAGGTTATAATATATAGTATATTAGTATAGTTCAGATACTATCTCTTTGATAAGGCTGCACCCCAAAAGAATAAGAAACACATGTTAGTCCAAAAGAGATAAGAGGCTTCATAAGAAGCAAAAGCAACTCATGAAAATAAACCATATTTTTCTAGTGGTTTACTACAATTGTCATCACTAATAATATTTTTAGTACCTTGTGGCAAATGTTCTGTGGCTGTTTTCTGCAATAGCAGTTTAGAGTAGGGATGAACTATGCCTAAGTATTGCATCCAGTCTTTGTTTTTTGCTGGTGCTGTACAAAAGGTATTCATTTTTTCCCTGAAACGTGCCTGTTACTCCCATTACATTAATTACATTAATGAGACTTGCATGGCTACTCTGAAAAGAACATACTTCAAAGGTCTGCTCATCTGATTGTGGGCACAAATGATGTGGGAGTGACAAGGAGGCTTGGAAAGTGCTGCACTTCTTCATGTCACTTTCTGGCTTGGATTCATACATTTATTTGCTTGAATTAAACAAGTTGTGAGAATTCAGCTATTTTCTATTAAAAATCACCTGGCTTTAAACAGAATGAAGAAGCAGCTATGATGTGGTGAGTTCTTTCAACAGAAGCAGAGCAATGGAGCCCAACTCAACCACTTAACATGAATGCAGTATTGATACGACAGTCACTTTAAGTAGCTATGCTCCTTATTCCACCAAGCACTTAGACATGTGCTTAAATCTATCAATAGTCAATAAATCATATGAGAATAAACCTAAAACTAACTCTTGTGGTTAAATCTCACTAAGTAAACAGGACTTGAGCAAAGTGCTTACTGTTGAATGCTTTGCTGAGCGGGGGTGGATTTCGTTAAATGTCACCTCTGCATTATTAGGCTGGCATTTTAGAAGCTAGCAACAACTTTTTTTTTTTTTAAAAATTTTTTTTATAAAATACCAGTTCAGTGTGGGGCTGGAAGAAAGCTTCCATTGAAAATCTCCAAACACAGTGAATTCAGATCATATTTACTGTGCTCTCTTTGGAAAATTAATTTTATTTTTTCTTCTGCAGAAGAGAAGTTTGAGGTTTTCTAGAAAAGAGAGGAAATAGTTTTTAAAAGCTTATTTGCTGTTTGATTGAATTTCACACTGTAGCTGGCCGAACCCTGGTTTTGCACAGCAAGTGATATAAAAGTAGTTAGAATAACTTTTTCCTTATGTGGGGCAGAGGGCAGCACAAATGTAAACTTCTGTTTTGTTCATGCTTTGGTTTTTTTTTTTACTTCTCTTTCCAGTAACGTTGAATGTATAAAACTCTTGCAAAGCAGTGGAGCAGATTTTAATAAGAAGGACAAATGTGGGAGGTAGGTAAATTATGAAGCTCATTTAAAAAAAGAAAAAAGAAAGGAATCTGTCAGGCAAGGCAGAAAGACCACCTCGGTCTGGAAATCATATGTTCTATAAAATGACAGTAAAATAGAGGAGGAACTTGGCCTTCCCTGCAGAACTCTTGCTGCTGCAGTTAAATGCCAGCCAGACAGGTGCAGACATCATTAAATGCATAAAAGCCATCCCACCCTCTTGAGTTTTCTGTTTTAAAAATATCACAGGTTTATTTTTTTTCCTTATTGCTCCTGTTACTGCTTAAATTCTTGTGCTTGTGTGCCCAAGACAATACCTGGGTTATGATGGATGGGTTGCTGGTATTTGATGCGCTTCCTAGAGACTTTTCTTCCCCTGTATGAAGTGTTGCTGTGAGTGTTGCTATTCCAGCTAAATAAGATGCTGTGAGGGACACGGTGCTCTGCTCTGCCTCCCAGCTGGAAGAAAGCAGAGTGTGTGTGGAGCAGCAGCAGAGGCTCTCTCTGGGAACAGTTTGTTGGCAAGGCACAGATGGATGATTTCCATCCTACTGGACTTTGCATGAGCATCAAAACTTCCTATTAACACAATTTTGTTAAATTTCCATAACTTTGCGTTTCATCACAGAAATATAAGGCTGATATTGACTCCTGGAAATCCATAGGAAAGCAGGGTTTGAGATTTGTCATTGTCCTTGGTGATGCATCTTGGCATATGAGGTAACAAATTGTCACTTACATTTCAGGACGCCTTTGCACTATGCAGCTGCAAATTGTCATTTCCACTGTATAGAGACACTGGTGACAACAGGAGCCAATATTAATGAGACAGATGACTGGGGACGTACCCCTTTGCACTATGCTGCTGCTTCTGACATGGACAGAAAGTAAGAAAGCCTCTTTGTATTCCCCGTTTAAAGCATGTTGCTAAATCAGTGCCATTCTGTTCTCTTTGTGAGGCTGTGCACTTTGAGCCCAAAAAATTATCCTGCTAGCTAATGGTTGGACGTAAAAAAAAAAGACCTTAAAAGGTTTCTAACTTAAATGATTCTGTGATTCTAAGGAATTTCTCTCAGATTTATGCATTACTCCATGCTGAGTTGCTCTGACAATAAGCCAAATCCCCAGATGTTGTAGCATTTCAGCTCTATGGTTTACCTTTGATGTAACACACAGTTTTGTAGCCATCCTGTCCTACTGAACTGTTTTCACAACATTTTGTCTTGTGTTTTTCTCTGTGTGGTTTCCTCACAAGAGTGAGCTCAGGGGATTTTCTACATCTGCCTTGCAAGTCCATCAGAAGGGGTGGAGCAAGAAAGAGCAGAAGGAGAAGTCTTCCTAGATGAGCTGTAATGACAGACAGACATTTGGCTATTCTGACAGACTTTTTGGAAAGATGGGATAGACCTACCTATCTCTCTCCACTGTCTGAGCTGATAAAAATGCTCACCCTGTCCAAACAGGTTGCTTTTCAGAGACTTTAAAAAGAGAGGGGCCTGGGGAATACCCTTGGGCAGAATGCAGTGCTGTTCTTGTGAGAAAACAGCTGCAAAACTTAGAAATCCTGTGGTTAGTGACTGCAAGTTCTAGCTCCCACATAGCTGTCTATTTTAGCAATCTCTTCCTTATACTGTATTAAACAGGCTCAATTATCCTGTTCTCTCTCAAAAATGTTAGTGACCTGTATTTATTTCAGGTCATCCCATGTTTCTCTGTCTCATTCCCCCAAACACCAAGGAACTATTTTTTTTCTGTTTCTTGTGTACTGAGATCTGGTAAAAATACATCTGGCTTGTTCCCAGCAGAATACCACCACAAAGCCACTGCAGGAAAACTTTGTCTTGAATTTGTGGTACAGGTTTGGATGCCATACCAGAGCCTTAGTAGCTTCTTCATCATTTGCAGTGATAATACTGATATATAAAAAAAAAAGTCTTCCCTATCACCCTCAAACCTGAACAGTGCTAGGGAGAAGGAAGGAGGATCTTCAAAAGTCTGTGCTTGGCACTGCAGTCAGAGTAGGCTTGTAGGAAGGCTTTCACCACTGCCCGCTTCTAATTCTGTCTTGCCAGAAGGTGAGGTGTTATTTGGAGTATTGAGTATTGAGAATGATGGTTCAGTGTGTGTTTTTTCAGCTTTTGGCTCTCTAAGGGAAGTTCCTGTATTCAAACAAGCTCTTTGTTAACTCCAGCATGTATCTACTTCCATCACTAGTTAAAAAAACCCCAACAAACAAACCCAAAACAGCTTACTTTAGTCACATCATGAGCATTGACAGGAATATGTGGACTTTATTTGCCCTCATAGTCCAAACCTAAATTGATTCTGATATGGTGATGCTGTCTTCTCATTAAAATTTTCCAGTTTGAGAAGTTCTGGAAGAAGTGTGATTACATAGATTAAATGCTTTCTGCAGTCCATGAATTTATAGGTCAGCGTATTTTTTTCCCTGCTGGATGGCAAAAAATTCTCAAGGTCAGGCAGTCTGAGTCCAAGGAATGTTCCTAATGGTGTAACTTTGGATGTGGACAGTTTAATGAGCAGGCTGAAGTCTTGGTGCAGCAGGGTTGCCCTCCTGTTTCAGCTGTTCTGGGAACTGTTGTTGCTTATGGTCTTCAGAAAGTGCCCTTTCCTGCAATGAGAGTGCTGCTGTGATTTTCATTAAACAGGGGATTGCAATTTCTGAGCCTGTACACTTTCTCCACATCATCACTTTTTCTGTTCAGGGAACCTTATTTTTGGATGTCCCTGATTTGTAGCTAACTGAAAGCAGATGGCAGGTAGGACTTCAGCGTAGCACATGAGTACGAGTACTCTCTCTAAGTTTATAATGTTAATGTTCAGGGAAGTTATTTTATTAATAATTTTTTTTTTCTGATTCATTTAATGGCAGTGATTAAAGTTTCTCTCTTAAATATTAGAGAAGGCCTAGCAGGTTACTGGGGGAAGAAACAAGCTGTGGGAATCCTGAGCTCACCTCTGCAAAGGAAACAAAATGCACAATGTCGCTGTGGGAGAAACAGAAGGATTTTAGAAAGTGATGATTAAACTGTTTCTGATAGAAACCAGAATTATCTGGATTTTGGGTTGGGAGGCTGGCACAAACTTGCAGAATGATGAACTACCATGCTGTAGTTGTCTCCATTGCTTGCAAAACTTATTAGCTGCAAAGCCATGCAATACCCTCGTTTAACTTGTGGAAGTCTTACTGTTGGCTGGAAGAGGTCAGCTCCTTGAAGAGGAGATTGGGGATGGGTGACAGACTGCATCAAAATCACTGGTATGGTATTTTGAAAATAAGTTGCATTTTTCTGTCCTCTGTGCTAAGAAGAAAGAATATTTTAGGTAACTCCCATGAAAATTCTGAAGAACTTGAAAAAGCCAGTGAGATGAAGGAAAAAGAAGCTGCGTTGTAAGTTTGGTGTCACTAAAGCAGTTAGACTCCATTTCTGGAGAGTGCCACGGCTTTGGGCTGCAGTTTACACTCTGCTTTTACTCATTCATTGCTCTGCTAAACACAGTGCTTGGCTTTAATCAGGGCTAGCATAAACAAAAAAGCTCTACGCTCTTCTCTGTGCTTATATTCCCTAATATTTCTGTTGCTGTGCTTGTTGCTCTTTCTTAATTGAAAGAGGAATTGCCTCAGTAATTTAATAATTCTTTTGTATCATGCACTGTTATTTTAACGCTGTGCACTGAGCATGTATGTTGCAATAAGTAGCCAATGTCTTCCTCTATTTATTAACTTATATTGACATTTTCATCTTGCTATGTAATAATATTTTTTTTTAAAATCCCCTTTATCACATGACAGCCTTACATTCACTACAGAGTACAAACTATGGGAGAAAGTGCTAAGACCAAAATGATAATTTCTTGATGGTATAAGAAAAAGTGGCAAGTACTATAAAAAGCATAAGGGATCTTCTGAAAAACGTACAATTTAAAAAAAAAAAGCTGACAAAGGAGAAAATATGTAGATATATGCTAGGAAATTAACTAAGCTACTCTTTATTTTTCAGCTTGCCATAGTGAATGTTTGGAGGCCAATCATTTGATCAAAAAGTTTTCATGTACAGTAGTAACAATTCTAGGCTGTTTACAATTGTGTAGGTTGATTTCAGGCTTTTTAATAAGAAAGTGATGTTGTGAGCTAGAGTAGCTAAGGCTGGGTTGAAGATTGTTGTTTATGAAGACTTTGAAAGATGAGTAGGAATTTTCTGTATTAAAAACTGGTGAATGTAGGGAGTTCTTGGTGAAAAGAGGGAAATTCGTGATTTGGGGTGCCACTGGAAATACAGAACTGCCAGTTTTCAGTGCCACTGCTGGTTGCAGTGAGAGAGATCTGTGAAATATTGTGAGCTCTCATTTAAATGAGTGAATTGTCCACAGGTGTCTAGAGTTCCTTCTACAAAATGATGCCAATCCATCCATCCAAGACAAAGAGGGGTACAACACTGTGCATTATGCTGCTGCGTACGGGCACCGGCAGTGTCTGGAACTGGTGAGTGCTCAGACTCTTCAGAGGTCTCTTAACTGCTGATGTATAGATTTATATATGCTAGAATTATGGACTCCCCTAATGGTAACTATTTGTGTTCATTGGATATTCACAAATCTGTGAAAACCTGTGGTATAGTGCAGTTAAATATATGTAACTAGTTACATCTTAAAAACATGTTAATCCAGTCCTTGTTTGACAAGCTGGTGCTTAAGTGTTGTCTTTGAGTGTCTGTGTGCTCAAATTATTTTTAACTGTGGTCAAAATATTCCTTGTGTATGTGTGTGTGCCAGTAGCAAGGGATAGTTCCCAGTGCATGATGGTGTGTGTGTCTTTTGCAGCTGGTGTAGTACCTGCCTTCCAAACTGAGGAGTAAATAGCTTTTGTCAGCTGCATACCTGCAGTGCCTGTTGTCCTCAATCAAGCAAGAGCAGCATTGGTGAAGTTACCATAATCAAGATCAACCTTGTATGCAGTGTAGCTGGGGGCTGTGGTGCTGGTGGTGGTTTTTAGTATCCTGTCCCTGAATGATTAGAAGTTGTACCTCATGGGAAACATATTCCTTATGTGTGTGTGCCAGCAGCAAGGGATAGCTCCCAGTGCATGATGGTGTGTGTGCCTTTTGCAGCTGGTGTAGTACCTGCCTTCCAAACTGAGAGAGTAAATAGCTTTTGTCAGCTGCATACCTGCAGTGCCTGTTGTCCTCAATCAAACAGGAGCAGCGTTGGTGAAGTTACCATAATCAAGATCAACCTTGTATGCAGTGTAGCTGGGGGCTGTGGTGCTGGTGGTGGTTTTTAGTATCCTGTCCCTGAATGATTAGAAGTTGTACCTCATGGGAAACCAAAAATGTGTAGCCAAAAATTGGATTTGGGAAAGATATAACATGGATTTATAGGAGTTTGTGACTTGTAAAGCCAAGTGTCATGAAGATGGATCTTACTGATCTGCTTGATATACAGGGTCATCCAACATTATTGTGACACATACAAGTAGGCTCAAATTGATTTTTAAAGAAAGATATGATTAGAAAATTGTACAGATATTCAGGTTTTAGAACACTGCATGCTGTTTAGTGTTCTCTGTTGTTTGGTTCTTTCTTTGTTGAAGAGTCAAAGTACTCAGTTATTGAGGAGGAGCTCTGCAGAGCACATGCTGCTTTCACACCAGCTTTACCAGTGCTGTCACTGCCACCACGGGAGAAATACTGCAGCTGACCTACGTGAGGGTCACCACAACTAGGAAACCCTGACCTGTAGTTACACCAGGGCAGCCCTGGGGCAGAATTTCAGGTGGGATGTTAAGCCTTTTTAGCTCCCACCTGCCAGCATGTTTGTTTAGGACACTTTGAAAATTATCACTGCTTCTTTTTTCTTTGTGGCAGCAAGTTTGGTCTTTCCTGGTTTAGAGCCTTTTCCTAGATCTGATCGTTTGTGCCTCTGCTGGTGGGGATGAAGGTCTTCTGAGCCGGAAGCAGGTTTGGAACACAAGCAGATGTTCTTGTCATTTGCAGGATATATATCTGGAGTAGTGTCTTCTGTGCTGTGCACAAGCCTACACTTGCATGGCCACAGCAATGTGTGTTGCAGCCTTACTCATATCTCACCACCAGGTTCCTGCATCCTTGTGTGAGCAGAGACCTCTGTAACAGCATCTTCACTGGGGAATCCTCTTTCAGCCTTCATACCCTATTCCCTGTGTGCCACCAGCACTGAGCTCTCATGGAGCAAGGTTCTCTCTTTTCTAGTTGCTGTGCACATTTTCTGGCAACATATTGGTTGCAGACAGTGATCTGCTGTCAAGTCCTAGTGTTGTTTAGGCTTGCCAAACAAAAGGAAGAGCTGGGAATGCAGTGCCTATCAGAGGTGTTGGGTATTTTTTTAGTTTTAGAGGTTGAAATGCAAACTGTGGGCTAGAGACAGCTGTGCAGCAAGTGTTCTATCTTTGGACAGAGAAAAGAAGTGTTTTTCCATGTCTTGCTGTATTTGTGACTATAGCTGCAGTATAGAAACCCAAAGCCAAGCACTATTTACAGATTTATAGTCGTACAGCTATTCTGTCCACACCAGTGAAAGAAAACTGCTACAGATTTCAGTCTATTGCATGTAAAGGAGCACATGTGTGCTAGGATATCTACCTGAGGGTGCTGTGGGGACTGGGATTTTGTTATTGGTGTTTAGGGGTTGACAGGCATCTTGTGTT